CACAGCATTTACATCATTGTACTTAGCCCACAGAGGCCTCACGCCTCCGGAAAGGCAAGCGAGAGGTGGCGGGCTTGTCTGCTGCAGCGACTTCTATTACGGTAGCATGAAGAGGAGGTACCTATGATGCACTGCAATCTCTCCCCCCAAATGCATCAGTTAGTCACAGGCTAACTTATAATAAATCTATAAAGCATAGGCACATGAACTTGCACGCAGCAACGAGGAGTCGCGCATCAGGTGAAGTTGCAGTTGCTGCCTATAACTCATGCTGTACCGATCGACCTGTTGAATTATTGACCCTTCAGTGTTCAGCAGCACCGTTTCAGTATTCCTATTTCGATATGTTGTTTCAAACAGCTAGCAAGGCTCCTGTGTGTGTAGCGTTGCAAGGTTCACCTGGACTCAATAGAAGCTGCTTTGATCGAGCCTGCACCCGAATAAGTGGTTCATATTCTCTATTTATAAGGTGAATTGTCTGAATAACAACTATGTTTAATGTTAAGCGGAGCCGTTTTCTACTGAGTGAGGATCCACTGCAATGACGGTGGCTTGTGGGGCCGTTCCCTATGGGCCCCTCGTATATTCACATGATCTCGATAATCCATCATTACGAAGGTTGATTTTTTATTTGCCTTTTGTATAAATTATTTAAAAGCATAGGATTTCCTGGTCATTTGAGTGTTCCACCTGTATCGTTTCGGGGGTCTTTTGACTATGGGCTGCAGTAGCCCCAAGCCCACCCTCGCTGTATAGGAGAAGGGATAGATATCCGCAGTGGATTTCTCTCCAGTGGAAAAACTTTGGTTGAGTTGAAAAGGGTGGTGGCTCCTTTCGTGGTGGACAAGGACCTTATGGGGATGGAATTCGTCGTGGGGGATCACTCGGGCCTGTGCAAGGAGCTCTCTTGGCTGTCCGCCGATACCCGGCGTACACGCATTATAAAGAGGGCCAAGCAGAACCGTTCTTTGGCTGTCACTTCCCTCTGTTGGGCAGGAGCTCCAGGGTAAGTCTGTAAACAGAAGAAAGCTTTGCCTTCAGTTTACGATGCATACTAGCAACACTCTAGCTTTGCCGTCTGTTGTTGGGGTGAGGCGAACCGTGCACGTTTGTATTGAATTTCAGTGTAGAATGACCTCAGTGTCATAGTATTGCTTCACTCCGCATTAGAAGATTGACGAGTGATCACGAGTATAGATAAAGAGCCGAACCCCGTTGAGTGAAGTGAACTGTGTATGTTTGCACAGCGGAAGAGAGGCTTCGGAGATTGCAGTTGGCCGTGCATGCGGATCCGTGGAGGCGTTCGCAACATCTAATGTCGTTTGTGAGGCCCCTCTTGATGCTGCATCTATTGCGGGAGTGGGTTCCCTTCAGCTGCCTTTGCGATCCTTCCAGCTGCCGTCAGCACCTGTAGCTCTTTCACTAATTGGATCAGCGAAATCACGCGCCTACACGCGTTCGCTGCTTTGCAAATCATGGCTGGCGAGCGGTGTGACACCGGGCGAAGCATCGCTTCGCGATGCCCTGCTGCCATCACCCACAGAGGCTGAAGCCGATGCAGCAGAGGACTCAGCCTGCAGCACAAGTTCCAGCAGGCTGTTGCTTGCCGTTGGCCAAAAGGGTCATGCCTGCGTGGTGGAGTGGGAAGAATGTTTCAACACTCGTCTTCTCGAGACGCCAAGTGATCCAGGAGAAGCTGCCGCATCTCTTGAGGAGGCCGTTGATGGGGAGATAGAGGACGTGACAGTGCAGTTTCTTCCCATAGAGAAGAATCCCAATGCTGAGCCTTGCGCTGTGCAGACAGCGACCAAAAGTAACACGTTTTGCTGCAGAGCTGCGTACCTGCTTCCAGCCCCCATAGCTGCTGCCAGCAGCCATCCCTTTTGCCATAGTCTACTGGCCTTCGGCGGAAAGGAAAACGACGCGAAGGTTGTGG